AAAATCACTGTTGACAGACTGTGCTATTATAAGCATTATTTATTATTGCATCAAAATTGACAAATTGACCTATTTTGCATCTTTTTTTCCTGTTTTTTGTCTGTACATTTGACAGCTTTGCTGCCTTGTTCTACAGTATTTAGTTCAGATAATGGTATTTAGTTCAGGACACACATGTGATAATGTGGTGTGTATATATATATATATTGAAAGTATTTTTCCTGAACGAGTATATATATATATATATATATATATATATATATATATATATATATATATATATATATATGTGTGTGTGTGTGTGATAAAAAGAAATAAAAAACAGTTATTTTACCACAACTGGTTTCATCCCATCTTCAGGAAGTTTTTTTTTGTCACATATGTATATATATTTTCCTTTTTTTTTAATGAGGGGGTTGGGGATGTCCACAGGACACACATCTTTTTTAGTTTACTTTATTATGATGAAATACTGCAAAGGACACAAACCTTTAGCAAAATATGTGTTATAGGCATTTGATGCCATTATACAAATGGGATAATATTTACAATCTTGATGTGATGCCATTTTTTGTGATGTTTTATGACTCATAGTTAATTAGATACATGATGTTCTAGTGTGTACGTTTGTGTGCATGTGTGTGTGTGCGTGCGTGCATGCGTGTTGTTTATTGTCATTGCAATGTGAATTGAAATGCTGCATTTTTAGCATTTTAGTTCAAACAATGTGGGAGACATCAAATGGTATTTAAATGTATATTTTGTCAACAGGCAATCATCTCTGATTATATTTTTATTTATTTTTACTTTTTGAGTTCGGGCAATGCCGACAGTATAACGTCAATGCACAAGTTCTGCAGGAAATAACAGCAAGGTTCATATGAGCCATTAAATGGTGTGTGTCTGTTTATGTGTCAGTTGTTTATGATGCTTAATGGTAATAACTGGATTTATCAGTAGGGGAATATTGTGAATTTTACAAATACTTTTCTAAGTCATAATTTCTTAAAATAAGAACATTCCTATTGAGTGGTAGCATCAAAATTTAAAAAAGCAGGCTACTTAAGTTCTGTGCAGTAAAAGCACCACAAATGCTATACAGAAATATAATTTATATGACTATAAAATTACATATCTGAAAGTTTGAAAACATTTGCCCATTTAAAAGATTGAGGCATTGCTGTAGTTTTTATGTATTGCAGGCATGACAGTGCAACAGGAATGTTCTTATTTTAAGAAATTATGACTTAAAAAAAAAACAGTATCTGTAAAATTTAACAACTTTTTCTACAAAATTTTGCAAGCGAAATCTTTACTTGCAGAAATATTCAGTTCAAAAATAGAAAAGGCCACCAATTTGTTGGGCTGCATGATTAAAATTTCATAATTTAAAGGGTAAAATGTGTCATTTTGTATTTAATTTGGGTTAAAGATAATTTTGTCTCAGTGGGCATGAGAGTAGCAAAAGTGACATTCCGTAATGTCAACAAGCATCTCCTTGCTGCCACCAGGGGCACTCTCCTGGCTTGTTCCCAATGAGACTGTTACATTGATAGATCCAACTTTGCAGGGACTCTTGCTGAATGCAATCAGATTTACACATCTCCTCCTGGTGGAGTAGAGTACAGAAAAACTGGTGATGATATATGTATCACAGGGGACACTTTGGTCCGAGTTACTTCCTTCAGCAGGTAACACAACAGCAGTGATATGTTTTCCAGAGATCAGCTACAAACTGAC